CCCACTCGAGAGGGCGCCCGGTGCCTACGTGCAGCAGCGCCAGCCCTAAGAATAGGACTCTATTGGCTTTCCGCGTAAACCAGGGATATCAGCCTATTTCTCTCTCTTACGTTCTTATCGTCGACTCTGGACCACCAGGTTCCGGTCCATTAAAGGACCAACAAAAACAAAATTTAAAGGCTGGAAGAAAATTACACTGAGATACCTGACTAGCATTTACTTGGGACAACAGTGAGATCAATTAATCAAGTTAAGACTGTCAAAAGGGCCTGTGTCCCTGGGCTTGACCCCTCACTGGTGACCCCAAAACATTTTACACACAAATGGATTAAATGGCCAGGGTGATAAAAAGGAAAGTTTCAGGACTCCCTTTAAGACTAAGACTTGTTGATGGGGTCCTGATGGAGGGAAGCTAAAGTTAAAAGTATAGGAGTTATAAAACTGAGATGAAAGCTTATAAAAACTGGAGTATTTGAATGAGCTTTCAAGAAGATGGTTACAGCTCTTTCACCTAATTGTAATGTGGAATAGACATTACATCTCTGAGCAATGCTTCCCTTGCCTCGTATTCTAAGACGGGGCATAAACATCTGCCCCTTGGGCAGTATTAGTTAAACATACTAAAAGAGACCAATAGAGTTACCTGAGACCACACAGTATAAAGTAAAAACTGGGGCTAATATCCAGGGAGTAATAAAAGCAACATTTTTTTTTCTCTCTAGGATAAATTGCTATGTTTAACTTGTCAACACACAGAGTGTCCTTATTGAATATTTTGTATACACTTTTGAAGACATAATGCATTGAATCCTAAAGTTCTAGAATATAGAACTCTTGACTTTCAGTTTAGCTGAATATCATCTTGTTGATAAAAAAAAAAGTAAATTAAAGAAAATATAGCTGGATATAGCTGGGCAAATCAACTTTTTAAAATCATTTAGGCAGCAGACCAGTTCTTTAGGGAATTAAAAGCAACAGTCTTCGTCCCTCAAATGGCTACAAATCAGAAAATACAACTCACAGTGACCTGAGACTGAGCCTAATTAACTTAATCAGGTTGAATCTGAAGCTGAAGAGGGAAAAAAGGAAAAAAAGAGACCTCTTAAAACTCAAACTGCTGGCACTCTCATCTCCTGAGATGGCTTGCTCTCTGGAAGTAAAGCTATGATCAACCTAGACAGCGTATTAGAAAGCAGAGACATTTCTTTACCAACAAAGGTCACTCTAGTCAAAGTTATGGTTTTTCCATCAGTTGTGTATGGATGTGAGAGTTGGACTATAAAGAAAGCTGAGCACTGAAGGATTGATGCTTTTGAACTACAGTGTTGGAGAAGACTCTTGAGAGTCCCTTGGACTGCAAGGAGATGCAACCAGTCCATCCTAAAGGAAATCAGTCCTGAATGTTCATTGGAAGGACTGATGCTGAAGCTGAAGCTCCAATATTTTGGCCATCTGATATGAAGGACTGACTCTTTGGGAAAGACTCTGATGCTGCAAAAGATTGAAGGCTGGAGGAGAAGGGGACAACGGAGGATGAGATGGGTGGATGGCATCACCGACTTGATGAACATGAGTTTGAGCAAGCCCCAGGAATTGGTAATGGATAGGGGAGCCTGGTGTGCAGCAGTCCATGTGGTCGCAAAGAGTCAGACACGACTGAGTGACTGAACTGAATTATGTTATACAGATGATATATTTTTACCTTCAGATAATATTATCAAAATTAAATTTATAACAGATCTCTATTTAATTGGCTTAAAAGTAGATACTTACTAATTAAATATTTTTAAATGTTTTAGAAACTTACCCAAGTTAATTTAAAATTCACACTATCTGGGAAATATTCAATATTAAATTAATATTAGGTATTATATTCAAGTTTGTTGGTTTACTTAATACAGACATGTCTTATTTTTATTACACTTAGTTTTACTAAAATTCAAATAAGATCATATTATCTCTTATAAAATTTATCAGAAAGAAAAATAGCTTGGGATGATGGATGACTTGGTCTCATATCTCATAAAGTTTTCATGCATAAGCTAAACCGAATTGTTGAAAACAAATTAATTTAATAGATACAAATGGGGTAAGAATTTTGAGGTGAACACTTCAGAAATAATTGTATTTTATGGTACATCTACTTGAAAATATTTTTTCCAGATTTTTGATATCCTTAAAGCTTTAGAATTTTTCTAAGTGAATTCAAATGATGAAAATTTATTAAATGTCAGATCATTTGCAAATAAAATAATGAAAATTGATTACTAAATATAGGCTTCATTTTACAGAGAAACTAAAGATACTTGGAACTATTAATAAAATTTTGATGCCACACTAAAAAAATCCTATAAAAAGCACAAATTTTTAGGAATCATAAATAATATTTATGCTTTCCAATCTACAGAATGCTAATGTAAACAACAGTTAATCATTTCTTCTTAGTGTTTACTAGAAATTAAGGTACTTACAAGTTAAGAATTCTAATTTATATAAAATCTAAAGTACTAAAATTATTAAGGGCAATATCTTTGTGTAAAAGGGAAAGGACATAAAGAATGGAAATTCATTTTGTTGTAGGAAAAAATAGTCATTTCATTCTGGAGAGAAAAAAAGAAAGAAAAATCCCAGGGCAAAATCTGAAAGCAAAAAAGAAAATTATAGAAAGTTTGTGGGAAAGGAGCTTTAAAAGAGTTTTGTGCATGGTCACAACTGGCTAAGATTAAAATAAAACTTGAGTAAATAAATTTAAATATTAAAAGTGAGCTGGTACAAAGCTAGAATTTTTTTTTTTATGTTCAGAGAACAAAGTTTTTTGGAATATTGATCTGCTTTTGTTAATGGATTGTAGTTTCTTTACCTTTTAAGTAATTTGTTATAACTTTCTGTATTTGCCTTTAAAATCTTTTCTTATCACTTTAGTTGGGTGAATAAGTATTGTTTCACAATGACCTATGGTCCTACTCAACCAAATATTTTTAAAAGTTTTTAATATCTTTAATGAACTTCCCACGTCAAATTCCAAATGAAGTTCTTTAGACATCTAGCTGACTTTGAGATGTTTCAAAGTAAAGAGAGATATTAAACTAATTAGGTTTGTTGGGTATGTTAAATTATTAATACATGGGAAATATTGTCAAATAAATGGTGATAAAACTTCTTAGGTTTTATTACATGGATATATGTCATTAACATAGAGATTCCAAAAGCTATATGAAATTTCTAAAAATTTGATATATCCTGGTATAATGTTATTAGTTATCATTCTAACTATTATCTCAAAATATTGTATGTCACAAAATATTGTATATTCTTTGTTAATTACATTGCAATCAGATATTTAACCATGCCATTTAAAATCTATTGTCTTTTGTAGGCAGTCATTGTTTTACTCTGATGGTTTTACAAAATGAAGATCTTTAAGAAGATTCACAAAAAGGACTTTTTAACAAATACGTTTTCTGGTGACTTTTAGATCATACCACTGAACTGGGTAAGAAATTGCAAAACGAAAAAAAAAAAAAAAAGATGATTTCATCCAGATCAATAAGAATCAATTTATGGGACTGAAATAGCTAGTAAATATATATATATATTTTTAAATTTGACTGCCATGTACCATGTGGGATCTTAGTTCCCTAGCCAGGGATTGAACCTGCACCACTTGCACTGGAAGTGTGGACTCCTAAGCACTGGACGGCCAGGGAAGTCCCTATAATTTATATTTTTTCTGAAGTATTACTGACTTTTAATCCTTATTTTTCCAGAAAACCTTTCCTTTAACACTATGACTTACAACCAATTGATAACATATACCTTTGTAAACAAATATGAAACATTCATATTTTTCTCTCTACCTGATCCTCCAGAATTAAGCTTTTGCAGCTGGCCCCCCTCTGGACTTCATGATCTATTGTGATCCAGGTCATACATAATTATACGAATCATTTTAATCTGTTCTCACTTTGCTGTTTTCAAACTATGCTTTGTATCTCTTTCTGCTCTAGTCTGACCCTATTAATGTTCCTAGTTCTATTACTTATACTCTGTCTATTTTGTGAAATTGTTGTCCCTTGACAACAATACCTACTGTGTATAGTTAAGCCTCCAACAAAATTAATGATGGCTAAAGTCTTGAAGCAATGATCACACATATAACTCTATATAGAATAATTGTCATCGTGCAACTCTAGACATGGGGAAAAGTAACAAGGGAAAAACATTTCCTGGATCATAATAGACTAGTAAGATTGATGATCTAGAGAACTTTAAGTTACTAACAGGGCCTAATCCAGATATAGTACATGAATGGCCTATCATGGAGATCTTTGCCTTAATTAGGAATAAGCGTTCTTAGCACCATGGGGTAAATCTATCATGAAAGGCCTCCCAAACCTTGGTCAAATTTATGACCAGCAAAGGGCACTTTAAGGAAAAAACTGTTGCTTGCTATTCCAGGTCTACAAGGATCAAGCCATTAGCTGTTGTGCTTGCCCATTGGCAGTAGGCTCAGAGGAAAATTCAGGATGAAAAAAACAAAGAAAACAAAAAACCAGAAAACATTCTGTGCTTTAGATTTAGTCATCTTTAGATAGTTAAGATGCATACTAAGAAAAAAATTTCAAATGACTCGCCTTTTTCATCTTCCCATATATTGAAAAGCATTTCAATTGCTAACTTGAGATTCCTATTCTTTGTGTTCAGCATCTTTTGATGCTTGACTACATGTTTTTCCCAGGAAAAAGTTTATATATATCCTGGTTTCTGCCTTACTTCTTCAGAGCAGTTCCTCTGATCTATCTAAGAGGCTGTCTCCTGGTTGATGGTCTTCAGTAAGATTCCCAAATAAATCTTAATTCACTTTTACATTGTACATTTTTCTTTTGGTTGACACTTGCTATATGTCTCTGAACCCTGAATAGAAGCAGAGACAGAAGTTCCTTGTTTTTTCCCTGGCTGATATTAGGAACAGAGGCCCCTGTCCAGTCCAACCCATCTACTCACCCAGGATCAGCAGCAGCAGCAGCCACAGAAGCATGGGGAACTGGTGTGGCTGAGGGCAGGGCAAATCTGTCTCACCAAAGCTGGGCTTATTTTCCATCCACAAAGAAGACATAAGGGAGGTACTCAGAGAAGATCTGCAAGAATTAGAAAAGGGGAATTGAAAGAATCATATTTCACCTTGGGTTCTGAAAAATTAACATAGCTACCTTCTTTAATGTTGTTTGTATTTCAACCCCGGCAGCTGTGCATTTTCAGATGTTGACAGTCATCTTTCAACAGTTCAGCTCTCTTAGGAGAATTGTCTCCAAGGTTGTGCTGGGTTCTTTAGTCATGCTATGGATTTGCTAGTATTTAAATAACTTTTTTTTCCCATTTTTTAAAGGGGAAAACCCTCATTACCTTGAATTCATACAACTTCTGGTTCTGCATAAGGCTCCTAAAATAGATTATGGTGTCCCACTATGATTTGTGGTGTGAGTCACAAAGAGTCAAAATGTCAAAGCAGACATGAAAACCTTTTGGCGAATTGGCATAAAGTTTTTGAAGAGGAATCTTTTTTTTTTTTAATTCACAGACTAGCTAAAGGGTCTGTCCCTAAATTCCTCCCAGATCTGTGCAAATTAGGAGATAAATGAACAAGAATTAAATAGGAAATAGTTTTGTGCCCACCTCAGCCTATAACTGGGCTTCCCAGGTGGCACTAGTGGTAAAAAAAAAACACACCTGCCAATGCAGGAGACATAAGAGACACAGGTTCTTTGGTCAGGAAGACCTCCTGGAGGAGGGCATGGCAACCCACTCCAGTATTCTTGCTTGGAGAATCCCCCGGACAGAGGAGCCTGATGGGCTACAGTCCATAGGGTCTCAAAGAGTCAGAGGCAACTGAAGGGACTTAGCACTCAAACACCCAGCCTATATAACGAGTGGTGTGGCTGGGCAGAACATTGTGGTTCTGATTATGATCTCAAGACACACTGTTGACTTAGAAAAAAGTGCAATGTGAAAATTGTGAGTTAAGCTTTATTTGGGGGCAAAATAAGGACTGCAGCCCAGGAGACAGCATGTCAGATAGCTTTGAGAAACTTCTCCAAAGAGGCAGTGGGGAAAGGTCAGTATATATGTGATTTTGGTGAAGGGGGAATATCTACAATCAAGCACACATTTTTCCAGAAGATTTCTACTAGTCTCGTGAAGCTTTCTGCTAATTGTAAGGAATAGTCATCATCATGTGCTTTTCTAGATATGAGCAGATACAAGAATTAGGCTTAAAAAATTGGCTCCTGAAAATATCTAACTATCCGAAGACCTGTCCAGCCAGTCTCACCCCCATTGAGCACAGAGTGCCTCATTTCTGATCTCCACCCTGAACTCCTTTCAGAGGGTATTGAAAATTGGCAACTGCAGCAGCACATGATTTGATCCTCATAGAGGTAGAGGGCAAGTGCCAATTTGTAATTGACAATCCTCAGCAATAAGCACGAAGAAACTTTGAAAAAAATAAAGTTTATTACTCACAGATCTGGGAGAGCACATGGCACGCCTGAGTCTATACTATGAGGTCAAGTGCCTGGGGTTCTGCTTTTATTAACGGGGAGGAGGGAGCCTAGTGTTTCTGAGGGCTCCATCCTTATTGGTGAATTTAAAACATAAAAGCCAGAATTTAAAGCACAAGAAGAGAGAGGGGAAAAAAGCAAACCCAAATTGTCAGTTATGAAAATCAACCAATGTCTCTAAAACTAAGTCTGGGATTGGGGGATGGGCTTTCATGCTGCCTTTTTATCCAGTGACTGGAAACATGTTTATTCAAAGTAGTTCTTTGAAGTGGATCCCTCAGCAAACAAAGTTTAAATTAGGCATTTGCCTTACAAAGGAAAGAGCAGGTGTTGGCCTTAGACTGTGAAACTTCTGTTTTTAAAGCCAGAGCCCTTATCAGAGAGGCCTTCCCTAAACTTTCAAAGAGATCTCAGCTGTTTATTTTCTATTTCAGGCCTCTGTACCCTTTTTTCATAGCATTTATCAAAATTTGTCATTATTTCCTCTGTTTTCTTGCTTGCTTTTATGTCTTTTCCTCAGCTAACATTTAAGGGCCCATGCTTATCTTACCCGGCATTGTATCCCCTGTGCCACTACCAATTCTCTCTTGCAGGGAGGCATTTAATAATTATTTTTTAAAGAAACTATGAAAAACTCTAGACCAGGATTTCTTGACATTTATTTCATTAGCACATCTCAAAGGGCCTATTTAGAATTTTTTTTTTCCTAACCACCTCCCTACTGTATGAAGCAATAGCACAGATATGCTGTATATCTTTATATTTATTATATATGCTTTATACATAAAAAATAAGATTTTTTTTTTTCACCTCTACGAGGACCAGTTTTTGCTGCCTTGAGGTTGATATCACCTCTGCTGGGAAAGCATGCTTTACACATAGAGACGGACCATTTTCAGTAGGATAGAAAGTTATGACCATTCAAAGACATTTTTATATTAGAAACAAAGAAATCTCTGATCAAGTTTCCCTTCTTTGAGGAGGCCATCCTGAGGCTACAAGGGAAAGAAGTCCTCTTTAAACAAATGTCTTTCTACTCTTTCCCCCCATGACAGTTACCAAATTTTGTCTTTCTGTATGTATTTTTGTGATTGCATTGTTGAGGCAGTCCAAGTGCAGGTTGGAAAAGAATTTCCAGGCACAGAGTACTGCAGAAAGGAGTAAATTTATTAAGAATAAAGAACAGAGATAAAGTGGGCACTGTGAGCACAGAAGGCCGACCTCCTGACAGACCAGGGAGAGCAGACAGTTTTTGTGGGTTAATGGTTAATTCTTATGGCCTCAAGACAAAGAAAATTCCTGCTGGAAGGTTGGCATTAGGTGATTGGTTGGGAGACTATAGGGTGTTTCTTGGAGTGGACATCTTTGCCTAACTAGGAGTCAGGAAGCTTGCTACTGATAATCAAGGGCTTTTGGCAATGGTCTCAGTCAGCTTCAGAGATGACCTTGGGCTCTGCTTCTGTGGCCTTGCAAGGCATCTCACCTGTGGCCTGGGGCAGGACTCAACATGTATGATGTTCCTTTCTCTCCTTAAACTATAGTATCATAGGAGCTGAAAGGAGTCTGATGTGTTCTCCATGTTTTCTTTATTCTCTTCTTCCTTTCTCTTCTTTCCTCCTTCCTTTCTTCCTCCTTTCCTTTCTTTTTCTATTATAGAAGGAACACGTTACATGATGTCTATCTTCTTAATGAATTTTTAATTATATGACACATTGTTTTTGACAATGGATGCAACAGTTATGCAGCAGGGCTCTAGAGCTTGGGCACTAGTAATAATTTTTGGCTAGTAGAGTATGAGTGAGGATCAGTATGATATATCATTTAGAGAAATTCTTTAAATTCTTGGACTTACAACTAATAGACTACAAAGAAATATAGTTATGTTGAAAATGCTAAAAACACAACACCTTTATGAAAGTATTGGTTAATAAAAGGTGCATGCTTTTATACTTCTAGTAAGCAGGTCAAGAAGCAACAGTTAGAACCTGAAACACTGGACTGGTTCCAAACAAGGAAAGGAGTAGGTCAAGTCTGTATATTGTCATCCTGCTTATTTACCTTATATGCAGAGTACATCGTCTGAAATGCTGGGCTTGGTGAATCACAAGCTGGAATCAAGATTGCTGAGAGAAATATCAATAACCTCAGATGTGCAGATGACACCACCCTTATGGTAGAAAGCAAAGAGAAAATAAAGAGCCTCTTGACGAGTGTGAAAGAGGAGAGTCAAAAAGCTGGCTTAAAAGTCAACATTCAAAAATTAAAGATCATGTCATCTGGCCCCATTACTTCATGGCAAATAGATGGGGAAACAATGGAAACAATGACAGACTTTATTTTCTTGGGTTCCAAAATCACTGCAGATGGTGACTGCAGTCATGAAATTAAAAGACGCTTGATCCTTGGGAGAAAAGCTGTGACCAAACTAGACAGCATATTAAAAAGCAGAGACATTACTTTGCCAACAAAAGTCCATCTAGTCAAAGCTATGGTTTTTCCAGTAGTCATGTACAGATGCAAGAGTAGGACCACAAAGAAAGCTGAGCACTGCAGAACTGATGCTTTTGAACTGTGGTGTTGCAGAAGACTCTTGAGAGTCCCTTCGACTGCAAGGAAACCAAACTAGGCCATCCTAAAGGAAATCAGTCCTGAATATTCATTGGAAGGACTGATGCTGAAGCTGAAACTTTAATACTTTGGCCATCTGATGCGGAGTACTGACTCATTAGAAAAGCTGATGCTGGAAAAGATTGAAGGCAGGAGTAGGGGATGACAGACGATGAGATAAACGGATGGCATTACCGACTCAATGGACATGAGTTTGAGCAAGCTCCAGGAGTTGTTGATGGATAGGGAAGCCTGGTGTACTGCAGTCTTTGGGGTCAAAAAGAGTCAGACACGACTGCACGACTCAGCTATGAGGTTGGGAGGCATGGATTGGAATTCATGTTGGTGAGTGTGTGGAGATGTTTAAAATATGAGTGTAATATAAAAAAGAATAAAATACTGCCATTTTCAGTGACATGGATTGATCTGGAGAATACTACGCTTAGTGAAATGTCTGACCAAGACAAATTATATCACTTATACATCTAATCTAAAAAATAATACAAAGTAATCTATACCAAACAAGAAAGAGAGGGACGGAAGGATAAACTAGGAGTATGGGATTAATATATACAAACTATTTAATAGTTAAGCAATAAGAATTTACTGTATAGTATGGGAATTATATTCAATATCTGGTGATAATTTATAATGAAATATAATCTGCAAAACAAAAACAAATCACTGTGTAGCACACCTGAAATTAATGCAATATTGTAAACCATCTATAATTCAATTAAAAAATACATATGGTTGTAAAATTTTTGACAGTTCCTTTATTTAGAAGTGGAATCTATACTCCCTCTCTTTGCATCCAGACAAGTTTGTTGGACACTATTGTTGTTATTGTTTAATCAGTAAGTTGTGTCCAATT